CAGTTATTTTTGAATGGCTTACTTCTATATATTCTAATCTAGTCTCTGGTTTCCAGGTGGCAGAATCAAGCTGATGTTTCAGATTGATTATTCCTAACTAAAATTGAGGTGATGGTCTAGAGCAATACTGATTCCTTCCTACCACCAGGTCATATTAAATTTTTACTGACTCTTAACATCTGTCTCAGACCTTGGATTCCTCCTTCAGACCTACAACAACAAAGAACTACTCCCTGTACTGAGCTATATAACCTGGTGGTAGGAAGGAGCATGTTACTTAGACCATCACCCTAATTTTGGTGAAGGATAACCAGTCTGCAATATAATCAGCTTGATTCTCTAACCTGGATGCCACATACCAGATTTCCAAAACTCATGGAAGAAACATGTACAACTAAAATGAGAAAATTAGAACCTTCAGATTTGGGAATCTCTCAATTGAAAAGGTATTACTTCCAATATGGAAGGGGAAAGTTGAGCTAAACACAGTTTTAACTATTGTGAGCTATGATTATTTTGAAGTCCTGGTGTGGCACCATAGAATAAGCACTCGACCTTGAGGTTGGTTTGAACCACAAGGTTGGCAGTTCAAACCCACCAGCTGCTCCTCAGAAACCTTATACAGGGTTGCTATGAGTTGGAACCAACTCGACAGCACTTAACAACAATGATTATTTTTAGAGTCCTGGTGTGGTGCTGTAGGACAAGCACTGGCCTGCTAATAGCAAGGTTAGTGGTTCAAACTCACCAGCTGCTCCTTGGAAACCCTTTACAGGGTAGCTATGAGCCAGAACTGATTTGATGGCACTCAACAACAGCAACAATAATAATGATTAAATTACAAAACTATATCTTTGTAGTATTTTGAAGTATATCTTATATACTTTCCTTAATATTTAGAATGATTCATACTTTTTTCAAATATAGAATTAGATTATGAGTATGGTATTCAGAGTCATACTGCTTGAATTTGAATCATGATTTACTACTCGTATGACTTTGGGTAAATTATTTAATCTTCTTTGTTTCCTTACCTCTAAAATAGGATAGTAACAGTGTCTACTTCCCTGAATTGTTTTGAACAGTAAGTGTAAAAATACTTGAAAGTGCTTAGCACAGGGCCTAACATATGCTAAGCCCACTCTAATCATGTTGACTCTGACTCACAATGACCCTACAGGACAGAGAAGACAGCCTCTCTTCTGTGAAGTGTCTGGTGGGTTTGAACCACTGACCTTGTAGTTGGCAGCTCAGCACTTAAAATCCACTTCATCACCAGGGCTCTTAACATTTACTCAAGCAAACCCAAACCCATTGCCACTGAGTTGATTCCAAATCACAGTGACCCTATATAAGGTATCAGAGATTGTAAATCTTTGTAGGAGCAGTCAGCGCCATCTTTCTTCCTTGGAATGGCTGATGGGTTTGAACTGACCTTGTGGTTGGCAGCCTAATGCCTAAACACTCCTAAAATAGTGACACTTATTATTAAAATTATTATTGTTACATAAAAACTTTTGAAATAAGGACTCGTTATTAGGATCCTTGGTGGCACAAGTGGTTTAAGTTCTTGGCTGCAGTTCCTTGAGAGAAAGAATCCTAAGGTAGCTGTCACATGGGCTCCTTTATAAAGTAAAAAACAACTTGAAAGCACATAAGAACAACATTGAAATCATAGTTATTGTCTCCACAATATTTAAAAGGAACTTGTAAGTGTTCAGAGCATTCAAACTGTAGGTACAAGACCAGACCCCATTTCCTGCCTCCCTCCTAACCCATGTTCTTGATTCTGAGTCTCCACATATCCAATGCCTGTATAGCAATGTAGGGTAAATCCTTTTCTATAGTCTTAAGAGAACTCTATAGGAAACAAATGTTTATTTCATCTGTCTTTGCATATTGCCCCAACTCAGTTACTTTTGCCATTGCAAATGACACTTTACAATCCCTTTCTCTTTTGATAATACTTTTAAAGTTCCTGGAAATTGTGATAATACATTTTCCTAATTCTATGCTTTAAAAAAGACTAATTGTATCAATAATCCTTGACAAAATTTCTTAAGTACTTCTGGTGTAGTGCCCAGAGTATCATTAACAGTCTCTAAATCAGCAAAGTAGGCTCATGGACTGGGGAGAAGCATTTTCAACCGAAAAACACCTAAATTCATACAGAACAACCCACTGGGGAGACATGTTTCACTGACATTCCAGGTAAGCAAATTCATCCTAATTTTCCTAGCAGTTCAACTAGATTATATTGTCTGTATGTTTCCAGTTAGATAAGCATATCTCATCAGTAGGAGTGAGGTGGCTCCATATAAGTAAGCACTGGATTGCAAACTGTGAAGTCTATGGTACGAGCCTACAAGCTTCTGGGGGAGGGGGGGAGATGAGGCTTTCTGCTCCCTTGAAGATTTATTGCCCTGAGTCAGAATCAACAGGATAGCACTTAACAACAACAAAAACAACAATCTTCCTCAGTTACCAGGAGAGATTTTTTTTTCTTCCTCTCTTCTATCTTTCTCAAAGAGTTGATTTTAAAAGATAATATTTGACAAGTAAGCAAAGAAAAACCAAATTAATAACCTACAAAACCACGATAATACTTAAAAGACAAAAATTGAGTCAAACCAGTTGCCGTAAATTCTGACTTAAGACAATATTAACAGGCCCACAAAGGTGATTTGCTCAGGATACCTATAGAATACATATTTTCTTAAAAATATGTAAGAGAATGATTTGTATTTCAAGAAAAGATAGATACATCCATTTTACTTTGCTTTAGTTCTCTTTTGTTTCCTCAAACCTAACTTTTATCAATACCTGGTAAGTAGTGCTTTTTGTTTTTTCTTTAACCGACCAAACGTTTATTTTGTCTTCCCTAAATGTCTCTTATCACTCAGCAGACTAGCCCAGGCTTGTCTACATGGCAGTGACAGGGTTCCAAGTGAGAGCTGAAATATGCAGACTCTTGAGACACAGGCCCAGAACTGGCACATCATCGCTTTTACTACATCCTTTTAGACAAAACCAAATCACGAGGTCAGACCAGATCCAAAGGGTAGAGAAATAGATTTCTTTAGCAGACAAGCTTCAAGATTGTATTGTAAAGCACACGGGCAAAGACATAGCATCAAGATATTGCAGGATCAGTTCTACACCACTGCAATATAGCCAACTTTTTGGTTTCCAACTACATATTAAAGTTATATTTAATATATACATGAATATATATATCTGATGTGGTGCTGTAGGACAA